TGCCGGGGATGGGAAATATGGCTGTTGTTGCCCGGGGTTTAACATGGCTGCGGCTGCGGCTGCTGCTGCGGCTGCCGCAGCTGCCGAAGACGTATGCTGTTGTACGGGGTGTACAGCAGCAGCCGACCCCGGATGAAGGTGGTGTTGAGGGTGGTGGTGGTGGTGAAGGTGAGGAGGAGGAAGGTGTGGAAGGTGGTGGTGATGGTGGTGGTGGTGACCTGCCGCTGCTGCAGATGTACCGCCATTGTAAGCCGCCATCATTTTTGCGCTGGCTCTTGCGCCACAAAGAGACATTCAAAAAAAATGCCCTTTGATTGGAAAGCAAACTGGGTCAAGCTGTCATTTGGCCATTTAAAAAAAAAAATGAAGAAACCACTCACTCCACCTCAAAAAACATAGAGCGTAACTGGCTTTATGTCTTCATCAGTCAATCCGAAGAAGTTAGAGGATCTTGGGTGTTTGATTTTTGGGTAAGAGTGTGTGGAAGGGTATGGGTTGACAAAATAAAAAGTTAATAACATAAAATAAGGGGGGAGAAAAGGAAAAGGAAAAGGAAAAAGGGCCCCTTCCCCCCAGGATTCCTGCCACAAGTGGATACTAAAACTCCATTCTTAATGGGGGGGAGGTTCCAACTTTGAGTGTGGGAATAAAGGCCAAACCTCCCGACCCCCTGAACTCCACACACGAAAAGGATCTGGGAACACACCACCCTTGGAATCTTGTAAGAGGGTTGACTCATCTACCGCTTCCATTCCCACATCCTTTTCTAAACACCTCCCACCTCCTCAAAAACACAATTTAAAAAAAAAAAAAAAAAAGAAATTCCAACCACTCTAAGTCAAAAAGATGTGGGGAAATTGTCAGGGAAGCCAGCTCCCAGTTCCCCCCCCCTCGAATTCTCAGGCCTTCCTACATCTCCCCCTACTCCTGGTCTGGCTGACCTGATTGGGGGGGGGGGGTTGTACCAAACTTTACTGGGCAGAATGAGCCAGGGGAGGAGGTTGGAAGAAGAGAGTGAGGCGAGGAGGCGACAGGCAGGACAGAAGAGGACAGAGAGAACCCCGGCAAAAGTGAAGGGAAGGAGGTGCAGGGAGGGAATGAAAGAGCGGTGGGCAGCACTCGGACGCCCAGACACAGGGAACCGCCCCGGGAGGAGGTTAGGGTCCCGGGGCCAAAGAATAGGAGCCCCGGGAAGCGGGCGGGGGACGATCGGAAGCAGGCTGACTCCTGCCCCCGCCGCCGCCGGCTGCTTGTGCTGAGGAGGGTTGGGGGGGAGAGCGGGTGGGTCCCCCGCGCGACGGCCCCTGCAGGGCTCAAGGCTGCTCCGTCTCCCCCCCTCCCCCCCACCCGGCTTCCGTGCCCACGGTCGCTTTCTCCACAGCCGCCGTGGCCGCTTTCTCTTCAGCCGCCGCCTCCTCAGCCGCCGGTGCCGCCGCGGCCGGACTCACCTCCCCTAGCAAAGCCGGATAGAGCGGAGCCAGCGGCGGACACGCGCAACCAGCCGCCGAGGCCCCGCCCCCGCCTCACATTGACCGGCTGCCCTAGCCAATCCACGCCCACCTGTCCGCGTCCGCCTCCAATCTCTGGCCGGAAGCTTCAGACAGGCGCACTGTTCGACCAGTGGTAACCAGGTGTGGGTCTCCTGGGGAAATCCCACCCCCGATTCGGGATGGGCAGACAGGCCGACCAATCAAAAGGCAAATCTTGGCCTGATCGACAAGGCTGAAAGCCAATTAAAAACCAAAGATCTCCGTGACTTTTTTTTTTTTTTTTTTCTTCTTTCGGCTCTCTCCTCTTTTCTTTTTCTTCTTTTATTTTTTTTGGCGAGAGCAGGAAGCTGCGTGCTAATCCCGCCTGCAAGATCTAGAAGAGAGGGGCGGAATGAAAAAAAAAACCAATCATGAGCCAGGAACAAAGAACAGAGAAACCAATCCTTGGGTTGAAGACCAAGTGGGCTGGAACTGAGTACAGATAGACATATAACTGGACAAATGGGGGAAAAAGATTGACATAGATCCCGCCTTTCACATGTCCTATTGGGCAAGATTGTGGAGAATTTGCTGTCATATCGGAGACGACATCTTCAGGGGCGGGGCCAATGGAAAGGGGTGTGGTTTGGTGTGGGCGGGACTTAGGCGAAGAAGGCGGAGTCCAAGTCATCACTGGTCCATTGATAGGAGCCATCTACAACTAACTCTAAGGCGTAAGATATGGAAAAATTAGAAGGAGCAAAAAGGCATGTTGAGCTTCAGAAACTCAAGGTTCAAGGTTACTTAATAAGAAACTCAGTAGACTCATCGATTAAACTTTGATTTTGACCAAAAAGAGACTTTATTTTCAGCATGCCCTCTGGACATACTGCAAAATGTATACAAATTAAAAACGGGGCGGGGGGGGGGGGGGGGGGGACAGTTAATGCCACAAACAGTAATATCCTCCCAAAGTTTTCTGGTCAAGTAAGTTCCATCATTGAAATTTTACTAGAAGAATATCATTCTTCAGTATTATTTCACTTAGCCTGAATTTACTCTTAAATACTAGACTAACTTATTCTTAGTAAAACTGTGAACCAAAAATCTGGAGGCCTCTTTGGTTCTCTTTGCCTGTCTACCCCTTCCTTTCCTACCAAGAGAGTAGTCTTAAACGCTCTGAATATCTCTCCATCCTCACTTCTCATACACCACAGCTTTACCCAAACGTAACACCAGTAGCAGTTTAATGCGTCTCCCTGCCTACAGCTCTCCTTTAAACCAATGGTTGCTGAAGGCACAGTAAACTTTTCAGCTCCCATCATCTGTAAAAAGGTGTTGGTTCTACCTGCAAATTTTCTGATTAAATCAAGAAAGAAGGCATAGAGATTTCAAAAGAAACCATGATTCATGAAAGATTCTGGGGAGATGAAGGATATTTCAGAGTTCAATGTGATTTTTGAATTGCTTTGGGTTGAGTTCCATAGGAGTTTGTTACTGATCTGTGTTCCTGAACTATTAAACATAAATATGTAGCCAGGCATAGTGGCACATGCCTTTAATTCCAGCACTTGGGAGGCAGAGGCAGATAGATCTCTGTGAGTTCAAGGCCAGTCTGGTCTACAAAGAGAATTCTAGGACAGCAAGGGCTGTATAGAGAGACTCTGTCTCAAGACAATCAAACAAATATAAATATGTATGATAAGGAATAGTTTCTCCTGATAAATAAACAATTTGCAAACAAGTAAATAAATAAGGAAAGGAATTCAGTAGTCTACTTTTATCTGAGGTTTTGGTTTCTATAATTTCAGTTATCCATAATCAAATGTAATTCAAAAACATTAAATAGAAGATTCCAGAAATAAGCACATTTTTGAAAGGTGCACCATTCTGAGGAGTGGGATAAAATCTTGACTTAGCCCTTTCATTCATTCATTAGATCAGTTCCCACAGTATTACTGGGCTTATGTTGAAGTGGTATCACATGGTGGTCTACCATTTCATCACAAAGCCCAAGTCACATCTCCTCACTTTATCTTATCATATAGGCATTGGATTATCTCAGTTCATCACAAGACACACTGTGAGAACAGTTTTTTGAAAGCAGGGCCACATTCACATCATTTGTGTTACAGTACACAGAATACAACCTGAGCACCTTTAATCTGAAAATCCAAAACTGGAAATAGTCCTAATCTAAAACTTTTCAAGGGCCAACATGACACTCCAAGTGGAAAATTAAAGGCTATGCATTTAAGGTTTATATGAAACATAAATGAATGTTGGGTTTAGAGTTGGATCCCAGCCCCTGTGTATCATTATATATGTAAATGTATCAAAATCCTAAAAACAAAAATCCCAAATCTGAAACACTTCTGATCCCAAGAATTAAAGCTAATGGATGTTCAACTGTTCTAGTTTATAATTATCGTTGTTTCATCTTATTGTGCCTAATTTATAAATGAAACATTATTAAATACATGTATGTACAGGAAAAAAGAATACCTGTAGAATTTAGTACTATTCATGGTTTCAGGGGCTCACTTAGGAATCTTGGAATCGTTCCCTGTGGTTAGCGGAGAAATAGTATACAAGTCTGACCGTGTCTCTAGCCTTGAATAAAGTCAATAAGCATAAATAGCCTGGCATGGGCTGGTTCCTGTCTACTTCAGGGGCCTTCCCTCTCACTTCCACCCTCTCTGCTTTAGACAGTCTAAATTTCTTTTGGTCTCTCACACGCTTTGATGTCTCTAAAACTTCATTGTTTATATTCAGCTTTAAAAATCTCTCACCCATACTCCACGTCTCTAGTTCATCCTTCATGGGAATTCCACATTTTCTTTTGGAAAGCTTTTTACTACTCCTCATCTGGACCATGACTGTCTATTACAGATCTTCATGCCATCGCCTCCCCATAGCATTGAGAACTCAAGTCTAATTGCTTATTGAGTTTGACCAGAACAGAGAGCTCATCTGTCTCACTTAATGTCTTATACCCTGTTCATAGGACAGTGCCTAAAAGAAAAGCGAAGACACTGGAGATCTGTATGAGCTACTCCGGGTCAGGGAGTACAAACCCGAGGACTGTCATTTGCTAGCCCCATGTTTCTGGTGATTTAACTAACCTTTCTTAGTCTCAGCTACCTCCACTGAAATAATGATATGCGCTTCATTAAGTTGAAATGAGGTGACATATTGAAAAGTGCTTAGCAAGGAACAAAAGTTCAATATTCATTAATTCTGTTCCCCCCTCAATCTCAAATAATGTTTGGGACACCTTTCCAATTTTCCAGTGTACAATAGTCTCCTTTAGAGTGCAGTTTTTGAAAAGCGTCTTTGCAACTCAAGTTCTCTGATTCTCTCCAAAATCTATTTTGGAGATTCCAGGAAGAACTGGAATCGGTTAACAAGACCTCCGGGCAATGGTGTCCTGGGGTTGGAAGGGCACTGGACCTGGGGAAAGGGACTGAGTCTTCTCAAACTTGACTTTCAGCACCTGGTACTGGGACTTTTGAAGAGGCTTCACTGGGGCACCAGTAGCTCATCAAAGAGGTGTACTTCTATCTATTTAGAGCAAGAATTTCCACCCAAAGTGAGCACACTCCAGGCGCTAACAAACGGCTCCATCAGAGTCCTGAGAGAAATCAGTACAACTTGTGATGATGGCGTGTGGATGTGAGCTTCAGGTGGGCCAGCACTCAAGAAGCCGAGGCAGAAGGACTCTGAGTTCCCCACCACCCTGACGTGGTGAGACTCTTGTCTCACAAACAAGAAACAAACAAACAACAACAACAACCACCCCCCCGCCCCAGAAATCATTATAGCTTTGATTTCTAATTTTTAAATATAATTTAAAATGTCTTTTGAAGCTGGGCATGGTAACTAATGCCCATAATCCTGGCATTCTGGAGGCTGAGTCAGGAGAATTGCCACAAACAAGTTCAAGGCCAGCCTGAGCTCCGGCATGAGACCCTGTCTCAAAAAAAATAAAGCAAATAAAAAAGCTAAAAGGAACACGTAGAATTATCTGGATATGTTTTATTTAACCCAATATACCCAAAATATTGTAACTTTAATATGCAATAAATATTTGAAAAGAGACACATACACATATGATACAAGGTCTTTGAAATCTGGTATGCTTTTTCACTCACACATAGCACCACTCAGTGACCTGTAAACCTAGGTATGCAGAGAGCTGAGACAGGAGAGCCCCTGGGTGGAAGAAGCCAGCTTGGACTACACAGCAAGTTCCAGAACAGTCAGGCTATATAGGGACACCATGCCTTTTTTTTTTTTTTTTTTTTTTTTTTTTTTTTTTTTTTTTAAGTTTCAATTCCTTCAGTTATTCTAGTCGTCTTTCAAACATTAGTTATCTTCCCAGGGCTCATTAGCCACTTGTGGCTAGCAGCTACTTCATTAGACAGCATAGATCTAGACCATGGGTTTGAGACTCTGTCCTGCCCCTCCCTAACTTGTCACTTGACGTTGGCAGGTTCCTTAGCCTATCTTAAAGAGAATGTGTTGGTCTGAATCGAGAGGATCCCTGACTTCTTCAGCCGTGGCGATCAAAGAGGCAATCCACAGAAAGTATGTACCCCGGGGCCTGTTGGCTCCTCATCAGTGGCGGTAAGTGGGATGGTTATTATTAGTGTTACAATCCAAGGTCAAGCGTCACAAGTCAGATGAGAAATACTCTGTGGGCTTGGCTCAGCTCCTATCCCCAGCATTCTAGCCCACATAGGGTGCCTGTCCCCTTAAACACCTCACCAGACAGTACAATTTCCGGCCCTTCCCATCCTATTCCATTTTCAGGAGCTGAGCATGATGAACGAGGAGAAGTCGGAAGTGAGTCAGCAGGATAGCACTTAGAGCCGAGAAAAGCAAGCAGGACATCAGAATGCATAAGCAGGAATATAATGTTCAGGAAGTGGGGGATGATCTTCCCTTTCTTCTAAGAACTGGCTCCCCTCATGAGTTGTCTGCAGCTTCTCTGTCCAGCATGGGCCAGGGCCAGAGGAGTTAAAGGATAGCAAAGAGAATTACCAACACCAGTTATCCCAAGTTAACACATCACAGATACATCCATTCTGCAAATACAGAGGCAGATTCAGGAGCCTTAGGGAAACTCATACAGCTGGTGGGAGACAGAGCTGGGACCGGCCAGCTCCCATCACACCTCTTTCCTTCCCACTGAGTATCACACTTGGAAGGACTAGTCAGTCGGGGAAACAAAGCTTTGGAATGACCGGTCAAGGGAAGGCTATCCAGCAAGTGCTTTCACTTTAAAGTCTAGCAGCTTTCCTTAACAGGTCCGTGAAACATTAGCACTTTTGCTCAAAACCCTCCTTGGAGGGCCAGATAGGAACACCTGTGACCTTGCCACCCCACCGCTTTCCGGGTCATACTTCCATTATGTGCAGACTATCCTTCTACCTCCCAAGTTGTACTCAGACATCGATCATGAAGGCTTTCTCTGATATCAGGTTCTCTAATTCTCTCCCTTCTCTTGAAGAGCACGCAGCATTGATTGGAAACACATGCTCTGGCAGCTTTCCTAGCCCTGCGACCTTGGCTGAATAATACCTTTGAACTTTGGTTTCCTGGTCCGTGTGGTGAAGAAGAACACAATATGGAGACGATTAAGTAACATCAGTGTCGGACTCGACACAGGTAGCTTCCTTTCCCACTTCTCTCCCTCATTCACTAGCCATCCCCCCCCGCCCCCCCCCATCTCCATCCCCTGGGTTCTTGGGTGTGTTTAGGAAGTTGGCTCTGGGGATGAGAAGTGGTGCTTACATCTCAGTCAGTTCTAACTACTTCTCCCCACTCCCCTCATTCATTTCTTGTTTATCTTCAGGTCTTCTATCAGTCTGTGACGGGGGCATAAAGCTGTCACTACCAAAATAAAGCTGGATGCTGGAGACACAGGAGCATAAGCAAGACTGCGGACCTTTAGGGCATCCGGCAGTGCCGCAAGACAAAGGGCCTGTTCAGGATCAGATACAGGGAGGCTCTAGAAGAAAAGCCACAGAGGTCCAAGGAAGAATTTGTGATTGGCAGGAGAAAGATGGATGGAGGCAGGGAACACAGCACGAGGTCAGGAGGCAAGCAACCAGGACAGAGACAACAGAGACTGAGACCGTCCATAACAGTGTGCTGGGGACCGGGAGAGACCACTGAGACCGTTCATAGCAGTGTGCTGGGGACCGGGAGAGACCACAGAGACTCAGACCGTCCATAGCAGTGTGCTGGGGACCGGGAGAGACAATAGAGACTGAGACCGTCCATAGCAGTGTGCTAGTGACCGGGAGAAACCACAGAGACTGAGACCATCCATAGCAGTGTGCTGGGGACCGGGAGAGACCACGGAGACTGAGACCATCCATAGCAGTGTGCTGGGGACCGGGAGAGACTACAGAGACAGACAGTCCATAGCAGTGTGCTGGGGACCAGGAGAGACCACAGAGACTGAGACGTTTATAGCAGTATGCTGGGGACCGGGAGAGACCACGGAGATTGAGACCGTCCATAGCAGTGTGCTGGGGACCGGGAGAGACCAAACAAGTCTGAGTTCATTGCTATCTGCGCCTTCCTTTCAAGCACAGCTAACCCTTCACCAACCTTAGCCACACAGCCTCGAAGTCCCAGGACAATTCCCTCTGCACATCTCTGAGGACTTTGGCCTCATCCTACCTCTCCCTACTTTTTAGCCGTGCTCCAAATCCCAAGACCAAACTTAGCCCAGACTTGACTCTGGCCATGTGTATCAGCCAATCCGCTGCGTTTCCTTCTTAGGCAAATCATAGATAAACTTTTTTAGTTAAAGTTACTTTTGTTTGTTTTGTTCTGTTTTTATTTTGGCTTAGTGTGGGTTTTTTTGAGGTGAGGGGCCTCATTTTGCAGAGGCTGACTTCAATCTCCCTATGTAGCCAAGGTTGTCTTTGAACTCCTAATCCTCCTGACTTTACCTCCTAAGTGATGAGATTACAGCTATGCACTACCATGCCCAGCTTTAAAATGAGTTTGGAATTGGGGAGATGGCTTAGTTGATAAAGTTCCTGCCATGCAAGCATGGAGAACTGAGTTTGGATCGCCAGCACTCACATAAAAGCTGGGTGTAGTGGTAACCTTAGCATGTGCTGGAGGGAGACAGGTAGATTCTGGAGGCACACTGGCCAGCCTCGCCAGCCAACTGGGGAGCTGTTGGGTCAGTGAGAAATCCTGTCTTAAAACACAGGATAGAGAGAGATTAATGAAGACACTCGATGTCATCTTTTGGACCACACACATATATGCACACATGTACATGCACACCCATAAGCTGCACACCCACAAGCACGTGCACAGACACAAACACATACCAATTGAAGGTAGCTGTAAAATTAGTTTTAAAATATACTATAAAATCCTCATAATGGACTTAGGCTGGGTCTCTGCAGCAGAGTCTGCCCAGCATATGTGGGGCCCTCGCCTTGACTTGATCTCCAGCACCGTAAAACAACAATAATATATAGTGATGATAACAGTAACAAGTAAATAAAATTATCATGCTTCACCTTTGTAGGTGTCTATTATTACTTTGACTTCTTAAATCTTTTTTCTTTATTTCTTTCTTTTGACTAGTTCTTGCTATGTGGCCTAGGCTGAACTTGAACTCAAGATCCTCTTGCCTCAACTTCCCAAGTACTGAAATTATAACTGTGAATCTCCACAGTCAGCCTTAAATCTTAATAAACAAAAGTGTAGCTCATAAATGTTAGACACACCAATAAAAAGAGAGACATTCATGATGCAATGCAAGAAATGTCCTCTAGATCTATTTTTTTAGCTTGGAATCCAATACAAGACAGGTTTTTGGTTTTGGGGTTTTTTTGGTGGGCTGGTAGGGAGGGGGGGTTCGTTAGTTGGTTTCTGTTTTGAGACAGGGTCTTATATATTATAGGCTGACCTTGAACTCACTATATGAACTCCTGATCCTCCTGCCTCCATCTCCCAAGTGTTGAGATTACAGGTAAGCACCACCATGCCCAGCTACGTGATACCTTTCATCAAAGAGCACTAATGAGCCATACACAAATTTCCACCTGTCCACCCCAATACACCAAGTTGCAAGCTGGACTTTCAGGATAGAATGAAAGTTACCTTTCTGAAAAGCCCTCAAAGCAGCAATCCCAGGTTAAGAGGACAAACACGGCTTTCAACAACTCACAGTCTCAGTCTCCGTGGTCTCTCCCGGTCCCCAGCACACTGCTATGTATGGTCTCAGTCTCTGTTGTCTCTCCTGGTCCCCAGCACAGTTCTCCATGCTTGCATGGCAGGAACTTTATCAACTAAGCCATCTCCCCAATTCCAAACTCATTTTAAAACTGGGCATGGTAGTGCATAGCTGTAATGTCATCACTTAGGAGGTAAAGTCAGAAGCCGGGCGGTGGTGGCGCACGCCTTTAATCCCAGCACTCGGGACTAGACTAGACTGAGCAGGAGCAACCAACTTTTCCAAGACTACACTGAGCACTGTCTAGGCGAAGACAAAGGCAATTCCCAGGGCTTGTTGCATATTGAAGCCTCTAGTGGATCTTTAAAACCACAGTGCATGGCTTCAGTAGTGTCAAACCACGTCTTGCCAAAGGTTTGATAATCTGTGTTATATGCTTGTAACTGTAGCCCTTGGGAGGCAGGGAGACCCTGAGTTGTTTTTGCAGTGCTGAGGAGCAAACCAGGTCCTCAGTGCATGCTGAGCAAGTATTCTACTACTGAGCTGTATGTCCAGCCTTAAAAAAAAAAAGCTGCAGTTTGAAGCCATCCTGGTCTACAGAATGAGTTCCAGGACAGCCAGGGCTACACAGAGAAACTCTGTCTTGAAAAACAAAAACAAACAAACAAAAAGCGAGATGTGGGTACCCAACATTTGGGAGGCAAAGGCAGGCAGATTTCTGAGTTTATAGCCAGCCTGGCTTACAGAATGAGTTCCAGGAAAACCAGGCCTTGCTCACAATTAGCTATTTAGAAAAAAAGAGAGAAAAAGAAGGGGAAGAAGGAAAGGAGGGAGGGAGG